ATTCATTTACATGTGAATGAGAGTTGATTTAAGTTTAATTTATTTTAAAATAACATTTTATTTAAAATAATTGTTTAACTCATGAAAGATTTATTGAGAAGCTTTTTATATTTTGTGTTAAAATCACTGAATATTCTGTGCATTGGTTTAGAATTTACAAGATTTTATGTTTTATCAGTACTTACGGAATAAAATCAATACAATTCATGTTTACAAAACATTTATTAGAAAATATAATATTTCAATATAAGTATAGAAATAACTGAATATAATAGCACATCCCTACTACCCCTACCACCCCTCCACTGTAGGCCACTACAGATTTTAAGACAAAAATATTGAATAGTGAACTATAGATGACTGATCACTGGTCACAAACTTAACAAATCATTTGAGATCATAATCTGAGCGCACATTAGAAAGGAGACCTACTATGGAGTGGTGTGAGGGGTACAAAGTAGACCTGGGTGTAATTATTTTATTTTGTTATTTCTATATTTGTTTATTATTTAATACAATTCTCTCGATTAATAAATACAGTTTCGTTAATCCAAATGTAGATTAAAACTTATACAATAAAAATTTGATGCGAGTCATAATTATCAATAGATATATAAAATTATTTGTTAGTCCCAAATATAGCAAATTGAACATTTCCCATTTTAAATGACACAAATGTACCTCTTACATTTTGAAATGAATATGTACCGTAAAAATCTAATGTAGATATTTGCCAATTATAAGCGCGATATTTGCGATGCATTTTTTTGGATACCTTTGTTATCATTTTGTCCCAGGAGTCTTGCTTTGCAATGGCATCAAGCACAATTTTCTTCGCGTCCGACAACATACTGTCAGTCATATCATTGAATATAATATCAAATTGCCGGCTTATCTTGCCACTTTCAAACCTCCGTTTAAATGAGTCATAATAGGACTATAATATATTATATGAATTTAATATGATATGTTTGAACTTATAAACTTATATCCATGATACTTACATCGTGTGTCATATACATGACAATAAACAATTTGTCGAATTCGACGCTTAAAAAGTGTCCTGTCTCACACGTACAGTTCGAACCGAATTCGTATTTTTTACCAGCGATTACATGCCAGTGGTCACCAAATTCATACTCCAACTGTTGCTTCAAATGTTTAGACAATTCTACGAATGAATTGCATTCAAGAATATATTGCCGCATATATGGCACCATCTTGGCAATCAACCCAGGGTCACAATTGTTTTTATTAATTTTGGGCTCAAATAAGTTAGCCCGAGCTGACTTAAATAATTCACCAGCAGCATCCACCTATAATTTATATTATATATAGATTATAATATATAGCAATTAATATTGACTAGTTCATTTTTGTTTTTAATAAACTGTTTGGGTTAACTTATATTGTAATAACATGCTTGCTAATTCAAAATACCTGTGAATTAAAAGTATGATTTTGAGTACTCGCTGCGGATAATTGGCAGTCATTTTGTTGAATAGTATTTAATTCGTGTTTTAATGCAATAATTTGGGTATTCTTTTGACTTAATTCCAAACTTGTATTCTTAAGCAGAGTTTGTAATTCTTGAACACAATTATGACCAGGGTTCTTGATACAATCGCACTGATCGCATAGTGTAATTTTTATATTATATTTGCAATTGACAGTGTGCTGGGTCAAGTTTTCCAATTTGAGCACTTCATCACAACCTCTATCTTTGTAATCGCAACTTATTTTTAAACTTTGTAACATATTCACCAGGGCCCTCAAATGTGAACATTTATATTTACAAAAATTTAATTGATAAATGTTATTTTTAATATTACCTTGGTGGTCGTGTTAGTTTACTTCTAGTTAAAGGTTTTCTATCCTGAGGACAAGTATTGTTAGTGTGAAGCCATTCATGTATACACTGTTGGCAATACAATTGTAAGCAGCAAGGTGATACCACTGGACAGCATAGTATGTCCTGACATATACTACACGTCAGTTCATCCCTTTCCGTTTCACTCAAATTGACAAACCGGTCGATATTATACCCGGACATTATTTTCACATATTTATAATTTAATAAATATACATAAATTATCCTGGTAAACACAATTTATATTATTATGTGAAATAATAATATTTACTATTAATTACTAATATTTTATTATCAATATTACGTTATACTTATTACTTTTCTATAGTTAATAGCAATAGTGATTGATAATAGTTAATGGTAACCAAGATAGACATTAATAGACATTTATGCTTGATATAATTATTCATTAAAAATTATTTAAGAAAATAATGTTTTATAATTTTATAAGTTATAACTGTACTGTTATTGAGGAGTATTATTGAAATTTTCTATATATTAGGGAATATAGAAAGGTTGTTTCTGGCTATAATTTAAATTTCTCTGG